TGCAGATAATTTGCTAAAAATAAAATATAACATACATAAAATTGATGTAATTTTGACAAAATGCTAAATTATAACTTTTTATTAAAATTATCATTAATTTGCTAAAACTAAAAATCAGACTTTAGGCCAAATTTTTAACAATTTGCCAAAGTGAAAGTATGTCCTATGAGAGATATCTGGGGTTCTTTATTAGTATACTTTAAGATATATTTATGTTATAAAATATCATAAGTACAATTTTAACTATCTAATATTAATTACAAATATTAGCTCAGCTAGTTACTAAATTAGTATATATGTGATCTGCTATATAAAATTTTACTTTTTATCAACTATCTTGCAATTAGACTGGTTTTTAAATCACTGGATAGTTCTCAAATCTATTATATCATATATATCCTGCTTATATACTATTATACAATATCTACTAGCCAACTTTTATCTCTTATTACTTATTATATTACTCTTAATTCATTTCTTGTACAACTTCCAAATTGGTGTCTTTCAAGTAGATACTTTTCATGCTTTCAGTTTGATATTCTTAGAGAAGTTACTTTAAAAACCTAATCTGTATCTCAAATAAGTACTATCATAGTTATAAGACTTGTATTTCAAGCCACTTGCTGCTATATTAGAGTATTATTTCATATTGATTTAGGTATTTATATTATATACCACCAAATTAGGCTACTGTTCCTTTTATAATACTCTCTAATATGATATTACAGAAGTTTAGATCTTTAGAACAGGAGTTAAGTATCTTATTTAATTACTATCACAAGCCAGTAATTTAGAACTTGTATTTCTGCTATATTTCAGGTTTTATTACAAAATTCCAAAAAACAGATTCTCAAAAAGACTCAATACTGACAAAGTTAGCCAGCATTAGTTATAATGTTGGCTAATTTAGTTGGTATTATGTTTTTTCAGAAAAATCGCTTTTAAGATGTTGTGGTAAAATCTATATTTCATTATTAATTTTCATATAGATTATATGACATATTACTTACTAACTGTCTTTATTTTTATACTACTAAGATGCCTGTTTTCATACTTTTCAGAGTTTCTTTTAGCTGATTTTTTTTGTTTTCTTGCACTAGAGGAGTTCTATATTTGGTAAAGTCATTTTCTTACCACAGCCTCTTACTATATTTACTGCTTCTTCTATCACTTTTGGATATACCGCTTCATGTTATTTTTTTAATCAAGTCTGCTACTAGATGTTAGTGCTACTTAAGAGCATCTTTTTGAGATTTACATATATAGCTTTCTGCAGTATTATCTTCTGTAACCTATGTTATACACAGTACTAGTCTTTTATATAGCTCAGACTCTTTTTAAGAATTCTTTATTAGTCAAATATATACATCATATGGTCTTACTACCACAGGGCTTTGTATTTGAAAGCTCTCAAAGGTTATAGAGATAATTAATTGTCCGGAGCGAAGCGGAGGACTTTTACGTTCAGGTCATTAGCCAATTTTTGTCTATCTGTTCACCCACATGATCATATATGATTTGCAGATCCACACATACTAGAGAGCTAAACAAAATTTTGTTTATCTGTCCGCCCACGTGACCAATCACATAAGTAATTGAACAATTTTTTAATTCGCTCTAGATTTACAACAGTATCTGTTTTCCTAGTTAAATTAATTACTTTCAGCTAGAATTAAACTATTAACCTCATCTGTGAAGGGTTGGGTGTTTAAACCACTAGGCTATGGAATCCTATCTCTCTAAAGTATTGATTAATTTTCTACAAAATATTTTAACTATAAAACAAAAATTTAAATAATTACATTTTAAAGAAATAAAATACAATATATATTTTTTTGTTATTATTAAATAGTTAATAAAATATATATATATATATATAACAATTTATATATTTTATATTTTTTTGTTTGTATATCCTAATTTTAAAAATATAATCATTTACATTTGTATCTGTTTTGGTTCTGTTAATTTTAACCTAAGTTTCATTTAAAAAATCAAAAAATAAATTAGTTTAATTTTTATAATTTATTTTACTATAATAAAAGTATATTAAATAGATTTTATTTTATAAACAAACAAAAAACTTCTGGCTGTTAATCTAGTGGTGTCGCATAAATCCATGACGCCCTGGTATGCGCATGGTGAGGTTACACCTGGGTCTTAAGTTCCACATGGTGGAAGTAAGAATATAATCAAAGGGTTTAAATGGGTACCCCCCTAGTTGGGGTGCAGGTACGGCAGATAGTGTAGAACCTTTGGGCAGACTACTTAAATTAGATACTCAAAAGGTGCACGTGTAGCTATATGTACTCTCATTGTATACCGAAATAAAACTTAATGATAATAAATTGCCGTTGACAAAGAGGTCATCTTAATACCAAAAAAAAAAAAAAAACAAACAAAAAACCTATTTACTATTTTAAAAGTTTTATATTTAAATATAAATTTTCTTTTAAATATACTTCTTTAATATATTGTTTTGGTTTTTAATTTTTAATATAGTATTTTTAATCTTCAATATATTATTTTTGGTCTTTAATATAGTATGTATACTATTTTAAAAAAGAAATATTTTATTTCATGTAAAATTTTTTTAGTACTAAAAACAAAGTAAATTAAATATTTATTAACAATAAAATTCAGATAATTTATAAAAAATTTTTTTATAATAGTAAGTTATTAATAAATTATTATATATCCAAATATTTGATTTTTAATATTATATATAGTTATTTTTTATTAATATTAATTTTATTATGATCAAATCAATAAAGAAAATCATTTGTGTTGATTGTGGCATGTTAGCTTCAACAAAATTACAAATTACAAATATCAGATTTAGTTTTAGTTCCTAATAATTTTTTCGAACCAGAAAAACGTTGTTATATAAAAAAACGTAACCCATAAAGCATATAAAAATAACTGGATTCCATTACCGGTTGGTGATTTGCCTGTTTTATCGACTACTATCATATGACATTCGTTTTCACACCAAGGAACCAATCCCTTCTAACCTTTCAATACAAAGTCCTGCGATGATTCCTAGCTCTATTTCGTTAGATCCAGCAAAAGATCGGCGTTTGGGGATGTATTTTTGTTCAAAGTTAGCATGTTCTGTTGTGACAAAGTTAAATAAAAAATTTTATATTTTTAATTTCCAACAAATATATGTTTAAATTGTGAATAATATTATTGCTATATACTTTCGTAGTGTTCACTCATTACATTTGTGTTAATGATATACATACCCATAAGGAATCTTTTTATATGCCATTTTTGAAATATTAGTAATTTCCCACAAAATTTACTTTTAAAGAAAAATTGGTAGATAATATTAATTGTGCTTACTTCGATAGCTCTGCCCACCCTCCTCCAACTCGAACCATTATCATCCGGTTTTTTAAAATACGACAATAACATAGTTTAGGATCAACTTCTCCAAACATGTACTTTCCAGGTTCTCCTTCGACCTTAGACACTTTAATCTTTACGGGGCATGCATGTACTATTCGTGCAACTTCCACATCAAGTTGATCCGTAGGAACTGGAACGTAATTATCGACTGAATGTGGCAAGAGACGGATTGGTGTACCTGATGTTGGACTTGAAGAAATCTGGGTTGGGGTTCTTGATGTAGGCCGTGGTGTTGTTGCTGGTGATGGAGGGGTAGGAAGGGTAGGAGGAGACACGACTCTACTAGCTGTTAAAGTGTTAAATAAAGAATAAAGGTCCCTCTAATTAGTGATTATGAAAACGATGCTTCATTGATATGGACCCGGCAGGATTGAGCGTAGTATAATTTAGTATAATTTAGTAAAAATTATTATATTATATGCATTTTAATATAAACTACAATTTACTTAAGAAACACAAGAATACAGTTTTGATTTCGTAAGTTTAGTATAGTACTAGTATAGTACTAAACTGTATAGTCAAAAACTGTATTCTAAACCAAACTTGCGTTTCAAGTAAAGCTTTAGCTTATATTAAACCGCATATAATATAATAAAATTTAAGCTTTATAATAAAAAAGATATAAAGATTGTACTAAATTGTACTGCGTTCAACCCTGCCAGGGACCCGGTATGGGTATTACAATATTGATCAGTTACCTGACATACGTGAATTGGATCGTGACATACACGAATTAGATCGTGACATATGTGAGTTGGATCGTCCAGGTTGTGCTTTTATTAATGGTCTCTGACCTGATAGCAGACGGCTTAATTCATTTTTTTTGGCGAAAGCAATTTTATTTAATTCATTCCATCGTTCTATTAGAGTGCCTAGACGGTTAACAACTCTCCAATCATCTTTTAATGGCTCTGCTGCTCTTTGTGCGTTTGTCAATTCTCGGATGATGATAGGATGGTAATAATTATATTTGGTATTCAGTTCAGTGAAACGCGACTGCAAGTCGATGACGCTTAAGAATTGATCTGGTGTTGTGATGACAGCGTCCACTGTTTCAAGTAATGAACACACTAATGCATTTATCTCATCTGCTTTTTTTTCGAATTTTGCCAATTTTTTAGCTTCTCGAAGTTGAACTCTCTTATTATCAATTAGGTTTTGAAGGTTAGTCAAGGCTTTTGCAATTCCTGCTCGTTGTTGAACATACCCTTTGTCATTTTCAGTTAAATCATTTATCATAGAATCTAATGCTTCAATCCTAGGCGTCAATATATGATCCATTTCTTCCTGGATTTCATCAAGTTCTCTTACACCATTGGTAACATCATCTTTTGTTGGTAGCCTTGAAACTCCTTCACCAGTGATGAAAGATTCAATATTTAATACCCGTTCTTTGACTTGGCCAATGGCCGTTAATATATTTTTAGTACGTGACACTTCCAGACTTTCCTTCGATGAGTCTAGGCTTGACCTCAATTTTTTGAGTTGATCTTTGAGACCATGCCATTCATCTAAAACTCTATATGTCCTTGTCTGAACAGATTTTTTAATTTTAGAGTTTGATTCCTCAGGTTGAGGCTCACCAATGTCTCTACTATCGGCTTCAGGTATTAGAACTCGGTGGCTCATATCTTTGAACTGATCAACTGTAGTTTGGAAACTAGCAACTTTTCCTTCTAAATCCACTATCTTTGCTTCTTGACCAATTATATGAATCGAACCAACTTGGATATTCAGCATTGCTAATTTACAGGATGACATCCAAGTTTTTATATCGGGAGCAGATTTGGCATGTGCATAAACTCTACGTACAAGTTCGAGTTCGCGACGTTCAAGTGTGACAGCGTCAGAAAACTTCTCCAAAGCTCCTGTCACCTTACTGAAAATGTTCAATATACGATCCTTATTGGCTTCAGGATTTTGATTAATAAGTTTATCAGCTTCTTGTTTAAAGTCAACCTTAACTCTTTGATCATATGTGCTCAATTTATTTTCACTTTCTTTATACCCATTAAAAGCATTTCTAAGTACATTTGCAAGTAGCTCAACTTCTAGAGCATAGTAGCCGCTACGATCAAGGTCCTCTTGTCTCGATTTAACAACAGCAGTTCCTTCGTAACAGTCTTTAATAATTTTATCTGCATCTGCATGGAATGCTGCCAATTGTGAGGCATTGTGAGCTGAAGTAAGAGCATCTGACAATTCTAATAATTTTTTACTTGCTTTATCGAAATGATGATCAAAGTTTGTTTCATTGAGATCATCGTCCGGTATAAAGGGGGCATGATTAACTGCAACTTTAGTATCTTCAAGTATTAATGTGGCTTTTTTAATATTTTCATCTAATTCTTTGTCTACAACCTCCAAATTTGAGAAATCTACACTAGGTAAAGCGTTTATACGAGATTCCAACCCTTCTAATATATTATTAGTACTATCTACAGCAACTACTTTAATGTTATCACTATTTATTTTTTAAATAATTATTAAATGATTGTAGAAAAAAAAAAGAAGATAGCTTAATTATACTCACTCACTAGAAATTTAACATATATTTTATTAAAAGTACAGTGTACTGTACGTATCATAGATTAATAACCAAACTTATACTCACTCGCAGATGATTTCATTTAAATCTTCATCTATAAAATTTTACGACTTAAAGATCAATCAAAACTAATAAATGAATTAAACTTAAATATTTTTAAAAAAAAATACTAACGGCGGTCTTTAATTATTCCTAACGAAATGTGCTGACTGCCTTCAATGTATACTTTTTGTAGATCATCAGAAAAGATCGAATCTGTTACATATGATGAAGCATTAGACGTTGATTTTGACATTTGTATATCAATAACATTATTCGTAATGAATTCGACAGGTGATTCTTCTGATAATTTCTTGAGTTGGACTAAAATTTCATCTGGTGACGGACGCTGAGCTGGATCAGAAGACCAGCATTTCTTGTAGAGTTTAACATAATCAGGAGGTGTATTTGCAATAGGCTCCTCTCTAACGTCCCTTGAAATTTGAAAGGGTATAGCTTTATCTTCGATCCCACTAAATGGAGGAATTCCACTTGTGAGTTCCCATAATAATACTCCAAGGCTATAAATGTCAGACTTTTTATCTGGTTTGATCTTTTTTAAATATTGAATGAAGGATTGCGGTTCAATATACGCTGGCATGCCTTTCAAACCAGGACTTGAAAATGAAGTGGCATCGTTCAAACGTTGTGATATTCCAAAATCTGTGATCAATGCTTTTCCATCATTTATTAAAATGTTCTTGGAATGCTTAACGTTAAGAATTTAAAAATAATTTTCATTAGTACTGTAATATTTAATAAATAAATTGCGTCACAATTTTATCCAATTGAAATAATTGACAAAACGAAAAGGACATTTAGAAAATTTCATTAGCATGACTTTTCTTGATATTATTCTAACAACAATAAATTTTAACAGTCTATTTCAAGGATAGTCGTTCTGAATAACGATAATCCCGTAACTAATTATAGGGGTCGTCTAAAGCCATGTACCCACGTGACTTTTTTGTGTAAATCAACCAACCGGGATCGCGAAAGTTTGTTTACA